TTACTATTACTAATAAGCTAGGATTACTATTAATAATAAGCTAAGATTTACAGTCACTGAACTAACCACAGAAGACTGGACATACTTTTAGCTGTACTCCTGGAGACCTCTTTTCCCACCCTTTAGTGGTAACAGTGCTAGTATGTCTTCTTTTTTTTTGGGAGGGGTTTCAGGGGAAGAGGAAGGAGCTTGGCACAGAAGTTCTTAAGTCATTACAGAAAAGCTATGCCTGACAGCAGGCAGGAGCAACCTCTGCCAAGCCTGAAGAGGGGAAGGCAGATCTGAAGACTAGTAACAAGATCCAGACAACCATATGGCTGCTAAACATCTTACAAATCTCTTTGTTACCTTTCAGAGGGAGACTGTTAAGGAATGGTTAATCATCAAGGTTTTCAGGAACAGCAAGATCTCTTCCTATATTGGAAATGAAGCCAGGGATTTACTCCCTTGAAAGGTGACATGACCCTGGTCTTTAAGGGAAGATAGCACCTCAGAAGCATCATGCCTGAAGAGATTCATATAACAAACACGAGGTAAAACAAAATAAATCACTCTTTCAGAGTAAATCATCACTAGTTGACCTTATCATGACAGAGAACCTCTACAGCCAGTAAGTGCGGCTTAGGTTATGATAGCTTGGCAGATACTGCTGTTAGGGAAAATTTGCCTTTTGTCCTAGACAACTTGAATCTACCAAACATTTTCTGGCTGCAGCTCACAGGGGATTCCCTTCCCTTAAAAGGAAATAATTTGCAAATGAGTTTCCTAAGACACTGTAAAAAACAAGGCAGGAAGACCACCCTTCCTTAATAGGAGACCAACCTGAGTTACAAGTTTGCAAATAAGTGAACCCAGTGTACAAACCCCCTTGTGGGATTTGCTTCAAGTATAGCTTGAAGGGCATGGAGAAAGAATGCTGGATGGGGGAAATCCCACCAACTGTCCAGCAGAAGAAATAAGGAATTACAGTAGCATGAGGTTTAGATAATTAAAGACTGAAGTTTTTCTCTAAGGAGAGGAAGACTCTTCCTCCCAATATCCCTAATGTCTAGAAATACTGACCAGTATTGCTCAAAGCTGGAATGGAGTTGTAAGAGAGTTGGAAAAAGAAGGCAGCAACAACTCAGCTCATTAAGTGATCACAGTGATGCACAAGGAGGATGTGGCCTTAAAATGGCCCCAACAGACACGTCTTGTCTGAAGTTTTCACAATCACTGAAACATGTACTAGGCATGTTCACTATGGCAGTGAGATACATACAGCACCCCCTTTCTTCTCCTGGCCTAGAAAAAAAGAAAGTCTTTTCTAGTTGGTCTGCACAATTTTCAGTATTTTTGACATTGCAAAATCTTTTGCACTTGGAGGTAGCTGACACTGACTGCAGTGAGGTGTACTCCTCCAACAACCTTTGGGGCCGCAGCTACTGGAGACTACTAATGGAAATGGAGGTGCACAGACAAGATAACTCTGAAGTTTACATGACATGGCAGAAGGTACTCAAGGCTGCAATTTGATGGACACTGAACTTGTTGACCTGCAACTATTTCACACTGTTTCCATACGCTGTGCAGCCACACCGTGAATTAGACCAGTGAACTTATCTGGCTAAAAAAAGCACAGAATTCCCACAAAATAGCTATGCTGCCTCCCAATTTTTATAAAGGCAGTTCTGTAGCCATCAACTCAAGGCATGCTTTGCTTTAAATCAGACTCCCAAGAGACAAGTACAGGGATCAGCGCAACATTAGCACTTAAGCACGTGAAGCCATCGTTTGCAACTGCTGCAGCAGGTAAGGCTGCTTTATGTAAATTGGGTTATTTATGGAGGGTTTTATTCCTCTTTGTTAACTTGCTGCCATTTCTGAAGATAGAAGTGATCATAACCTTCATTCACATATTTTGAACCACACAAGCTTAATCTGCATCAAACTTGTTTCCATAAACAAATTATACTGTCATTTAAGCATCCTGTCAGAAGGTGGCATTTAACTGAATATGCATCAGACTTGTGATGACGCACCCAAAACACAAGCTTGTTGTTAAAATTGTATTAGTAAGAATGTAAATAAATGATCACCTCTACTTCAGGAATAATACAAAGCGGTTATTTTAGTAATATTCAGTGGAAAGTGTTTAAACGCGTTTAGGTAACATGGTGTTTGTTTGTTAGTTCTGTACCTTTTGAGTTGCCGAAGCTGCCCTCTGTTCTGTCTGGCTCAGACGCTTTTGAAGCCTATTGATGTATTCTTGATATTCCCTCATTAATTTTTCATCCTGTGGAATTGAAATATGTCATTACGGATGTAAAGTTCTTTTTACTGGATTCATATGTACTGCAAAAAAGCTTAGAACAAGAGTAACTTCAGAAGTGGAACTGTTCACCACTTATAAGACTTAAGACATACAGCTGACACATTATATAAAGAATTTCCAGCCTAAATATCATATCCTGTGACTTTTCTAAACATAGTGATCTGCAGAGGAAGTTTTACTCACTTCACCATCTTGAATTAAGATGCATAAAAGTTGACATTTTAATCCAGGTAATTTAATTCACAATATCTTAAAACTATAAATGTTTTATTTAGCTATACTTCAACTATACTCAAAGGGACAAAGACTATACTAGGTAATACAAATGAGATGATAAACTTGCTACAGATCTGTTCTCTTCAACAAAGGGTCTGTATAAAGTCAGAACTATTTTTTACGTATAAAAATCTGTTCTTGCATCAGCCCCATTTTTCTTCTCTAATCTAGCATTACGAAAAACAACACTGGAGAACTTATCCTAAGTAGAACTGCGTGTTATCCCAGATTTATAAGGCTGACAGGATAGCTGTTTTCGAAAGTGGCCATTAATTATTGAACAGTGTAATTCCAAAACAACCCTGACATTAATTTTTAATGGATACTGCTATATGCATATATGCACATACAGTGTAAATTCTACTATACACATAGTATGCCGAGAATGTGGTATCTCTGCATATGCTACAGTATCTGTAACACTGCCTCTCCTTTGTAGAGGTATGTGTGCACAGACGGGCACAAGTGACTTCACAGACATTTCCTGTACTGTCTAAAATTGCTAGATTATGAACCTTGAAAGATGATCTCTCTTTACCTTTTCTTGTAATTTGAGAGTAAAGGTCATTTGTCCTCCTGCTGTTTGAACATGTCAGTTGGCAGAAACTGGGGGGGTTTCCTGTTATGGCTACTTCTCTCAAAAATCCTTAGTTTTTAAAACAACAAACAACATAGCTCACCTTGATAGGTTTCTGTTACGAAAGTAGCTGTCATATCAGTCAATCTTACCTCGGCTGCCTTTTCATTTGCAATTTCCAGCTGAGAAATGAGCTCCTGGCTATGAAGTTTTTGTTGACTTAGCTCTCTTCTATTAATCAAAAGAAAAGATGTTGATTAACACACATTAGTGCATCCGTTATTGGAATATGATTTCACATGTTACTTTCGTGCAGTTTAGGGGCTTATGGTGTATGTTTAATTACAGAATTGCTCTTAAAACAATGATTTCAAAAGCACTACACAGCTAGAACTGCTTCATGATGTGATTCAAAACTGTAATGCCAGAGGAATGAGATGTATTTAATAGGACTTTGTCAAGAGAATTTGACATTTTACTTTTTTTTTCCTTTACTGAATCTTATTTTGCAAGCACATTGTCAAATATATTGTAAATGTAAGATGTGTTTCCAGAGTGCATCCAATATTTAGAGTAACTGTTAAGTACTGTCCTATAAGCAGACTTCAATGTGGACATTATTGAAGGTGGCCTGCCTGCCTGCCTCACACTGAATATGTATTGAAAGAAACCAGTTTAACCATGTCCACGTGAGGAAACGTGATGGCTACTGAGCCAGCTGATTCATTCTGATTGTTAACCCTCCCCCAGTCATGAGACTTTAATATTAAAATTGAGCAGAACCCCCAACTGCTGAATAGTCACATCAGGCCCTACTCCGTATTGTCTTTATTAAGGAAACAAAAGGTGAGATTTTAGCATTTTGGCAGATGTATCATGTACGTTCTGCAAAGCTCTCCTATGACATATATGGCATGTGCCAGCTGTTTTTTCAATTCAGTTATACTATGCTTCAGTTACTCTTAGTAATTATGAATTTTGTATACTTCCAGCACCTGCAGCTGTCTCTCATCCTGTTAATTTTTTTCTTTAAATGAACATCTTAAAGTAAGTAGCTATGGCTGCCAAACATTACAGAAGCGTAGCCAAGAATAATGTTTTAGAAATGGAGGAAACTTCTTCATCTCAAGATGCTGTGCAATTAACTCTATGTACTGTACAGGATGTTGGGAGGAAGAGAAGGCAGTCCTGGCCAAAATCCATACACAGGCACCAAAAAAGGTCATCCTTCAGAGGTAGATTCTTTTCAATTATGAAAGAGAGAAAACTGAGAACTCCAAAACCCACACATGGCTACTGCTGAGTCAGGGACTAAATGTGACAGAGAAATGTTTCACAAGCAGAAACTGGCACAAAGACACCCTAAATAGCTGCAATCAGATGATCAGATGACTTAAGCTAAGCAAATGATTGATTTAAATTTAAAAGCAATATAGCAAGGATTCCCTTTTTGTAAGTACTGACAATTATAATTTAAATGAATATTAAAAAAACCCCAAAGCCACTCAGTATAGTTGTTCAAATATAATGGGTTCACATTACCACAAATA